AACAGAGCTCTCCCGGGGTGGGGATGTCAGGCCAGGAGGGGGGCGTTGGTAGGTTCTGGGCGAGAAATTGTGGGGTGGGGGGTCCAAGAACAGAGCTCTCCCGGGGTGGGGATGTCAGGCCAGGAGGGGGGCGTTGGTAGGTTCTGAGCGAGGAATTGTGGGGTGGGGGGTCCCAAGAACAGAGCTCTCCCGGTGTGGTATTTTTCGCCCGGAATGGGGGGCGTTGGTAAGGAAGGTTCTGGCGAGAAAATTGTGGGGTGGGGGGTCCCAAGAACAGAGCTCTCCCGGGGTGGGGATGTCAGGCCAGGAGGGGGGCGTCGGTAGGTTCTGGGCGAGAAATTGTGGGGTGGGGGGGTCCCAAGAACAGAGCTCTCCCGGGGTGGGGATGTCAGGCCAGGAGGGGGGCGTCGGTAGGTTCTGGGCGAGAAATTGTGGGGTGGGGGGTCCCAAGAACAGAGCTCTCCCGGGGTGGGGATGTCAGGCCAGGAGGGGGGCGTGGGTAGGTTCTGGGCGAGAAATTGTGGGGTGGGGGGTCCCAAGAACAGAGCTCTCCCGGGGTGGGGATGTCAGGCCAGGAGGGGGGCGTTGGTAGGTTCTGGGCGAGAAATTGTGGGGTGGGGGGTCCCAAGAACAGAGCTCTCCCGGGGTGGGGATTTCAGGCCAGGAGGGGGGCGTTGGTAGGTTCTGGGCGAGAAATTGTGGGGTGGGGGGTCCCAAGAACAGAGCTCTCCCTTGGTGGGGATGTCAGTGCCAGGAAGGGGGCTTTGTAGGTTTCTGGCTAGGAAATTGTGGGGTGGGGGGTCCCAAGAACAGAGCGCTCCAGGGATGGGGATGTCAGGCCAGGAGGGGGGCGTCGGTAGGTTCTGGGTGAGAAATTGCGGGGTGGGGGGTCCCAAGAACAGAGCTCTCCCGGGGTGGGGATGTCAGGCCAGGAGGGGGGCGTTGGTAAGTTCTGGGCGAGAAATTGTGGGGTGGGGGGGGTGCCAAAAACACAGCTCCGCTGGGGTGAGCATGTCAGGCCAGGAGGAGGGCGTTGGTAGGTTCTGGGCGAGAAATTGTGGGGTGGGGGGTCCACAAGAACAGATCGAGCTCTCCTGGGGTGGGGATGTCAGGCCAGGAGGGGGGCGTTGGTAGGTTCTGGGCGAGAAATTGCGGGGTGGGGGGTCCCAAGAACAGAGCTCTCCCAGGGTGGGGATGTCTTTCCAGGAGTGGGCCGTTGGTAGGTTCTGGGCAAGAATTGTGGGGTGGGGGGTGTCAAAAACAGAGCTCTCCCGGGGTGGTGATGTCAGGCCAGGAGGGGGGCGTTGGTAGGTTCTGAGCGAGAAATTGTGGGGTGGGGGGTTTCAAAAACAGAGCTCTCCCGGGGTGGGGGTGTCAGGCCAGGAGGGGTGCGTTGGTAGGTTCTGGGCGAGAAATTGTGGGGTGGGGGTCCCACAAACAGAGCTCTCCCGGGGTGGGGATGTCAGGCCAGGAGGAGGGCGTTGGTAGGTTCTGGGGAAAAAATGGTGGGGTGGGGGGTCCGAAAAACAGAGCTCTCCCGGGTTGGGGATGTCAGGCCAGGAGGGGAGCGTTTGTAGAATCTAGGGGGGGGAAATTGTGAGGTGGGGGATCCCCAAAACAGAGCTCTCCCGGGGTGGGGATATCTTTCCAGCTGGGCAAGAATTGTGGGGTGGGGGTCTCAAAAACAAAGCTCTCCCGGGGTGGGGATGTCAGGCCAGGAGAGGGGCGTTGGTAGGTTCTGAGCGAGAAATTGTGAGGTGGGGAATCCCAAAAACAGAGCTCTCCCGGGGTGGGGATGTCAGGCCAGGAGGGGGGCGGGGGTCTCAAGAACAGAGCCCAGAGGGTTGGGGGTGTCGGAACCAGGTGTGGGCGAGGTGGCGGCCAGGGTGTGGGGGGGTGGGTGGTATGGGTCGATGTCGGGTGAGAAATCGTGGGGTCGGGAGTCTCAAGAACAGAGCCCAGAGGCCTGGGGGTGTCGGGGCCAGGTGGGTGCCAGGTGGCGGCCAGGGAGTGGCGGGGTGGAGGGTCTGGGTCGATTTCGGGCGAGAAATCGTGGGGTCGGGGGCCGCAAAGACAGAGCCCAGAGGCCTGGAGGTGTCGGGGCCAGGAGGGGGTCATGGTGGGGGCGTCGGTCGTTTCTGGGCGAGAAATCGTGAGGTCGGGGGTCCCAAGAACGGAGCCCAGAAGCTTTGAGGGTGAGGGTGTCGGGGCCACGAGGGGGTCATTGTGGAAGGCGTCGGTCGTTTTTGGACGAGAAATCGGGGGGTCGGGGGTCCCAAGAACAGAGCCCAGAAGCCTGGGGGTGAGGATGCCAGGGCGTGGTTGGAGCGTGGCAGGAGCGTGGTGGGGAGCGTGGTTGGGGGTATCGGTCGGTTTTGGGCGAGAAATGGTGGGATGGGGGAAAGGGGGGCCCAAGAACAGAGGTTCCAAGGAAGGGAGCCAGGAGGAGGGTATCGGTCGGTGGCTGCTTGAAAGGAGAAGCTCACGATGAATGGCTCTAGCACGCACTCTCCCTCACACGCCTCTGGGGTCGGCGGATTCAGGAGTGGGCCCACATAGCCCATTCGTTCGTTGACGAGATAGCCGAGGATGCTACCTCGAATCTCCAGTTTCCCCAGGTAGTGTTTGACCGTTTCGACGCCGCCGACGCCGAGATGTTACACATTTCGGCACGCGTTGCCATCATTCAGGTTTCATTTTGGGGAGATTTCAAAGCACCCCCCCTTGCGACTCAAACAGCCTCGGCCCCCCGAGCAGGGGGACGCCAATCATGTCCTGGAGGAGTGTGAAAGGGGGCCCCGGTGCAATATATGTTTCAGGTGCCCGCTCTTGGGACAGAAGGCCCCCTGGCTCGATTGACCTTGCATTAAGCACACGGGATTTCACCACACCCACTTTCCCCACATGCACGTGCACAGGAGAATCGCATGTTGCTCGAGGTGTGGTGGCTGGAATAATTCAAGTCCCTTCAAATAAAAGAGCGCGTGTGGACCTGCCACCAGCACAGGCTTCAGGGTTCGCAACCGGTTTTGGGACAAGGAATTCCACCCCAGAGGGTTAAAAATTGGCCTTTGTCTCCCGACGTTCGCCCCCAAGAAGAGAGCGCGAGAGCTGTAGGTGTCCCGCCACAGCGCATCACTTGCTAAGCTGCCAGGGGGCCTTCGCAATGGAGCAGGATGAGGAACAGGAAGAGGAGGAGGAGGAGGAGGAGGAGGAGGAGGAGGAGGAGGAGGAGGACGAGGACGAGGACGAGGACGAGGACGAGGACGAGGACGAGGACGAGACGAAGAGGAGGAGGAGGAAGAGGAGGAGGAGGAGAGGAGGGAGAGAGGGAGGATGGGAGGTAGGGAGGGATGGACAGAGGGACAGAGGGAGGGAGAGGGAGGGGAGGGAGGGAAAGAGGGAGGGAGGGATGAGGAGGAGGGAGGACGGAGGACGGAGGAGAATGGAGGGAGGAGGAAAGAGGGAGGAGGGAGGAGGGAGAGGGAGTTGAGAGTTGGGAGAAAGAGGGAGGAAGAAGGGGGGAGGGGGAAGGAGGAGGAGGAGGAGGAGGAGGAGGAAGGAGGAGGAGGAGGAGGAAGAGGAGGAGGAGGAGGATGAGGAGGAGGAGGAGGACAAGGAGGAGGAGGAGGAGGAAGAGGCGTTGATAAGGATCTCCGCGTGGCCTGCAGGTAACTTGCTGACAGCGCCAGCTCAGACCCAGCGGCGGTATCGAGCGAAGGAGGGGGAGGGAGGGGGAGGTGGAGAGATGAAAAGTATGAGACAAGAGGAGGGCAGAAGGATGAAGAGGAAAAGGAGAGGAGCAAAGCGAGGCAGGGCGAGGGCAGGAGGAGAAGGAGAACCAGGAGATGGTGGAGATTGAGGAGGAGGAGGAGGAGGAGGAAGAGGAGGTATGAGATGGAGGCGGGGCACCGAACCTCGCCGGCGCGCGCCAGGAGCCCCCAGGGCTGTTGCCACCTCGATCGTCGGAGTCAACTTGGTTCCTGCGAGGCTGCCCACTCAGGGAGGAGAGAAGTAGGGAAAGCAGGTGAAGAAGGAAGAAGCGGACTCCTCATCCCTCTTCCCTCCTCTTCCTCCATTTTGTCGTTTCCCTCCTCCTGAGGCCCGAGCTGTAGCCGCAGGTCCTGGCACGCGAGCAGAAGGCTGGCCCTGAGCGCCACCAGCCTACGCGATGGGCCGGTGCGTCGTGTGAAAGTCGCCGTGGGCTGCTCCTGAGAGCCGACGCGCGTGTGCCCCATGAGTGCGGCGCCCAAGGAACGAACGACAATCCAGACAAGAGCGAAGGCAAGGAGATCCCGCAAACAGATGCTGGCCGCCAGGTCCAGCTCGACATGTAGTGGTACGGGAGTTGGCTCAGCTTCAGCGTCGACCACGCTGAGGCGATCGAATTGAGTCTGCGGATACAGGCCCCTGTCTATGTGGCAAGTGCTGCTGAAGAAATGACATCCTTGCGGCAGACTATCGTAAAAAAAGCTTCACTCAGCTACGCTAGGGGCCATGCTGGGGGTGCCGCGAAGTGGGGCAGCCACGGGGATCGGATTAGGGTTAGGGATAGGGATAGGGACATCAGTGGGAGGCCACGGGAGGCACTGGGAGGCCAATGCAGGCAACGGGAGGCAATGTCTCATGCCCGATTCAGGATTCGGCAGTGCACGCACTGGCTTCTTAAGCGGTTCAGGAGATTGGGCCGAGGCCTGCTACGTCGAGTGAAAGCCCCCCGACGAAGCAGGTAAGATCATGAACCGCTACGCCATTCCCCACGCCAGTATTGCCGCCAGTTGGCATGATCTATGGCGGCGCCGATGGACTGCATACCCTTCACACAGTAGCACACTCTTTCCTGAAGGTGCTGCGAGTACCTCACACCTTAGCAGAACTGCCCCGTGGTCACAGAGTAGCGCAATCGATCCCGGGGAGTGCAGCGTGTACCTCACAGAGTAGCGCAGTCGCCCATAGGGTATGGCGAGCAGTACAGAGAGTAGCGCAGCTTCTCCTGGGCCTGCAACCAATCATGCAGAAGCCAGTTCGGCTTCTCAAGGGGCATTAGCTCGTCTCCCGCGAGCCGCCGCTCCGGCACGAACGACGAGGCCAACCCCACGGCCGGCACCAGGCTGCGTGCCCCGCGTGGGCGCGGCCCTGCCGCGGACGCCTTGCCCTGGGAGCCCGCAGCCGACGACGCCGAGGCCGGGCGGGCTGGGAGCCCGCAGCCGACGACGCCGAGGCCGGGCGGGCGCAGCTCCGGGACGGAGGGCAGGGGCGCCGCGAGGCGTGGCGGGCCGGAGAGGGAGATCGCAGCCGTGCGCCTGGGCGCGTGCCGACGCCGGCCGCCCCAAGGGGCCCCTGGGATGCCCCGCGCGGAGCGCGCGCGGGCCGGGCTCGGAGGCCGCGTGCTGGTCCGGCGAGCCGGCTGCATCCGACGGGGGGGCGACCTCAGACGCGGGCTGGCGATGCACGGCACGCTCACCGTCTCCCCCCGAGGGAGGGAGGGAGGGAGGGAGGGAGGGAGGGAGGGAGGGAGGGACCCCCGTGGAGTTCGCGTCGAAGCGCCTGGGAGCTTGGGGGCGGCCTCCCGCCCACTCTTTGCCTGCGCGCGCCCCTGCGAGCGCGGGCGCCCGATGATGGTGAAGCACCTCCCGCGACGGCGAGAGCGTCCGAGGGTGCGGCCCCAAGCTGGGCTGCAGGGAGCGGCTTGAATGAGGAGCACCTGCTTGGTGGAGGACGATCAATGGAGAGGAAGCATGTTGCCAAATAATTTCCAGATGTCTAAAACATGTGTTAAACATGTGTCAAACATGTTTAACACATGTTTAGAACATGTTTCCGACATGTTAAACACATTTTAACTTCAACGATAGGATTGTTAGAGTGTCCATCGTCATGGCATCCACAACACTGGCTTGTCAAAAGGGGGCGGGCGCTCCGTGGCAGTTCGGCAGAAAAGGGGCGGGGGTCGAATCGCAGGAGCAGGTCGTGGCGGAACGCCGCCAGAAAGGGGCTCGGCCGTGCCTTTGCATTCCGTGGGCTTACTTGAGAGAAAGAGGCTTCGTTCCTTATGTATCGCTCCTTTGGTCAGGCCGATGACTGCACAAAGGTGACGGCGCCGCTCATGAGACGCCCGTGGAGCGGTGGAAGTCCCTGGCGAGGTGGTGTTGCAATCCGTCCACGCGACCGACCGCCGACATCGATGCGATGCCCACGTGGCAGAGCATCTGGTCAGATTCGACCGCCTGTGGCACGAGATGGCACCGTTGTTGCAAGACCTTTCCAGAGCTTTCAGCTTAGCTGTAAGTCGGGCCTGTCCCTCTACAGGAGGAATATTCAAAAATAGTTAAACAAATAGTCTGGGGACCATCTTTTGACTATTTTGAAGCATTTCCGGAGTTTAGTCTTTGTCACGTTTCGCCCAAAGTCCCCCTGTAGGGGGGACAGGCCCGACCTAAGCTTAGCTTCCTGGCCTCGTCCGTGGAGGCACGCCGCGTGCGCTCTGGGCTGCAAGTTCAGCGTCTGCGCCCCGCGCTGGCGCAAGAGGCCGGCATCAGCCCTGCGCGTGCCGTGCCGCAGTCTTGAGCGGTGCAGTTTTGCGGCCTGGCTGGTGCCCTGTGCAGACACGGCTGGTCCTCCTCCTCCTCCTCCTCCTCCTCCTCCTCCTCATCCTCCCCCTCCTCCTCCTCCTCCTCCTCCTCCTCCTCCTCCTTCTCCTCCTCCTCCTCCGCGTACGATCCGCATTGACAACCTGGGCGTGGTCAGGCTCAGGATGGCGCGGGACTTCTGCGAGGCGGCGTGGGCAGCACAGTGGCGCATTCGGGCCAACTACCACGCCAACATGCGCAGGCTGGCCCAGTCCGACGCGCGGGAGTGGGAAGAGCAGGTGGCGCGGCACGCGCGCTCCATGATCGAGGCGGAGGAGGAGTTCGGCGCGGCGCCTGGCAGGCGGGCTGCAGCTGCTGCCCGCGGGGCCGCCGCCGCGGCGCCAGTGCCGCCGCTGGCGGCAGCGGTCTGCCCTGAGCTGGCGTCAGAGCCCGCTGCCCAGAGGTCGTCGCTGTCGAGTGAAGAGCAGGCAGCCGCATCGTCGAGTGCGAGGCCGCCTTCGGAAGAATCGTGCACGAGAGGCAGGCTCAGCAGGAGCGCGTCCGCTTCGGAGGAGGTCGCGGGGAAGCTGGGGTCCCAGGCTTGCGGCGAAGCTGGGCTTCAGCGAGGTGAGCTGGATACTCGTGCGCGACGACCTCAAGCAGTCAACGCGCAGGCTGACACCCAAGGAGCGCGGGTACCTCGCCTCGGTGGTGGCCAACGGGCAGTGAAGTCAGAGCCGCAAGTTCGAGCAGGGCATGGCCGTGGATGACTCGTGCCTGCTGCGCGGCGAGGTCGGCAGCCTCCTCCACAGGCACTGCGGCTGCACTGGATGGCCGCCCGAGCTGCGCCTGCTTCACAAGGTGAGCATGCTGCTGGAGAAGGCCGAAATGCTCGAGGTCAAGTGCTTGCTGGAGCGCGTGCCGTGGCCAGCCCCGTTGGGGATCGCGAAGCCCAGCCCGGTATCCCACCTCTGCTGGCTGGGCGAGTGCGATTGGTACTTCCCGTCAGGCGAGCTGTTCCTCGACGTCTCGCAGTTCGAGGGCGACTACGAGCGGTATGCCAGCGTGGCCTGGGCCGTCATCGCGCTCGAGCGGGACGCCGGCATCTTCCTGTGCGGGGCGTCGGGCATGCTGTGCGAGCCGCACGTGGACATCAACGGGGGGTGAGCTCATGGCGCTCATCATGGTCCTCAGGTTCGCGATGCCGCCCGTCACCGTGGTTGTGGACAGCGGCTTCGTGTGCCGCGGCCTCCTGGAGCTTGGGCCCAAGCGCGCCACCACGAATGGCGCGGCGTGGGCTCACCTCTGGAGAGGTGCGGAGGCTGCCGGGCGAGTTCGGCGGCCTTGGGTGCGACGGGCTGTCGGCCAGGAATGTTCCCGCCCATCAGTCCGAGAGGGCAATCGACACGGCAAGATCACGCACAGGGACTGGCTGGGCAACCGCTACGCTGACAGAGCTGCGAAGTCGGCAGCGGCCGCTGGGCGATTCAGCACGCTGATCGGCAGCGCCTCGCCATGGCGGACAAGCTGGTCGAGGGCATCGGCATGTGGGTCTCGGCGGTGGGCGGCGCTATGGAGGGCAGGGGCACCGCGCGCCGCGTCGCCAAGCCGAACCGCCCTGCGCCGAAGGCAGTCACAGCGCAGCCAGCGGCGAAGCTATCGTGTGACTGGCGAGGGCCTCCTGGCAAGAGGTGGCGCAGCCGCTGCAGGTGGGTCGAGCGCACGAGCGAGTGCTCTGGCTCGATCGCCGCGGCGGCGCTGCAGCACAACGAGCGGCTCAAGGGCGACGGCCAGGACGCGCACATCCTGGCGCTGCTGCGGCCCCTGCGCGAGGCCGACCGCGTGCGCGAGATGCCGCTCGTGGCATGCGCAGCCTGCGGCGCCGCGGGCTCCGCGCGCGCGGCCAGCTTCGCTGCCCCCTGCGGCCGCGCCTCGGCCAAGGGCAAGCTGGCCATCGCCAGGCCGGGCAAGAAGCTCGCGCCCACCATCTCGGGCAAGATCGCGGTATCCATCGAGCCCCTGGCGGGCTGACGAGCGATTCCCAGCCGCGCTGGGCGCGCTGGCTCGGCCGACGGCCGCTGGGCACGCTGCGGCTCTGGGAGGAGGCGCGAGGAGCCCGAGGGGCCGTCGCGCGCTTCGCACGCTGAACGCGAGGGCGCCCGCTGAGGCAGGCGCGAGGACCCGCTGCGCGTGGGGCGCGCGCGGGCGCGGGGGAGGCGGCACCGCCCCCTCCGATGCTCGCTCCTCCTCCTCCTCCTCCTCCTCCTCCTCCTCCTCCTCCTCGTCCTCCTCGTCCTCCTCCTCCTCTCCCCTCCTCCTCCTCCTCCTCCTCCTCCTCCTCCTCCTCCTCCTCCTCCTCCTCCTCCTCCTCTTCCTCATCATCATCATCCTCATCATCATCATCATCATCATCATCATCATCAGCATCATCATCATAATCCTTCTCCTTGCGGTCGTGGCCTGCCACGGCGCTGGGCCATGTGCAGTCCGAGGGGCAGATCTTGGGAGGTGCAGCTAGGTCTGCATGGCCCACGGCGCGGGCACAGGGGTGGAAGTACGTGCACGGGAGTGACTGCCGCAGCCCGCCCTGGCGCCGCGCCCGTGCAGCTCACGGAGACGCCTTGTCGAACCGCTCCCACGAGCCCCGCTGCTGCCGTTATTCCTCATGTTCCTTGGCCGTTGGCCTACGAAGCCCCAAGGCAATATTATCCTCCTCCTCCCTCCCTCCGCTGCTTCTCTTCGCTGTATCGTTATCTGTTTGTTTGGTTTCTCTCTTTCTCCCCCTCTCTCTCTCTCTATCTCTGTTTCTTTTGGTTTTCCTTATTCTGACAATTGGGTTTGCGCCTCAGCCGCCCAGCTGCAAGGACCCAAGACACGGATGATGGAATATGGTGGGTATGCGTTGCCAAGAAAATTATTTATCCACCTTCCCTCCTTTCCTTTTTTGCTCCCCCCTCGTCGTCTTCGTCTTCCTCGCCCTATCCCCTTCCTCCCTAACCCTCTCCCGTCTACTCTATCCTCTCCCTCACCGAGCGCGCGTTGCCGCGCGCGCACGGAGTGATGAGGAGGACTGAGGATGCGCGGGGAGTTGGAAGGGAGGGGGGAAGGGGAGCTCGAGTGGGAGGCTCGGGGAGTTGAAGGGGGAAGGGAAGCAGTATTGGGGAGAGAACGGACGAGGGAGGACTGGCATGGATGGGGGGAGGGGGAAGAGGGACGCGAGAGCGGCATGGCGCGGCAAAGGGGACCCATGGGGCCGACCATGTGTGATGTCTGGGGCCAGCGGTGACACAGGGTTCCCACTGCACGCGAAACTGGAAGGGCGAGAGCCATGAACACGACGGGGGCCCGCGGCACCCAGGCCCGCCGCTGTCAAGATTATACGAGGGAGCAGGTGTTGCTTGCGAATTACCAATGCCAGGCCGCGCGGTGCCTCACGGCCCCAATGAACTCTCACCGCATACAGGTCGCACGCAACATGGATACATCTCTTCGCTCGTCCAGCGTGAGCATGAGGGTGATGCGGCGGATGAACGATGGATACGGTGGGCATGGTGGTGATGGTGGTGATGGCGGCGATGGCTAGGACGACGAACTGCTGGTATGGTGATTTTCTGGTGATGATAATGCTGATGAGCGTAACATAATTTCGCAGAAGCCAATGGCCAGCGCTGATTAAGTCATGAATCCCATTGCGATTATGGTCGTGCCTTCGTACAGAAAGATGAACAAAAGGAGGATGGAGGGAACGATAATGAGGATGATGATGGTGATGGTGATGTTGATTATGAGAATGGTGGTGGTGATGATGGTGCTGATAATGGCGATGATGGTGATGATGATGGTGATGGTGATGGTGATGATGACGCTGATGGTGATGATGATGATGATGATGCTGCTGATGATGATGATGACTCTGAGGACGCTGGTGAGGATGATGCTGATGATGATGCTGTTGATGATGATGAAGATGAAGATGATGATGATGATGATGATGATGATGATGATGATGATGATGATGATGATGATGATGATGATGATGATGATGATGATGATGATGATGATGATGATGATGATGATGATGATGATGATGATGATGATGATGATGATGATGATGATGATGATGATGATGATGATGATGATGATGATGATGATGATGATGATGATGATGATGATGATGATGATGATGATGATGATGATGATGATGACGACGATGACGATGACGATGACGATGACGATGACGATGACGGTGACGACGATGATGCAGAGGAGGAGGCGGAGGAGGAAGAGGAGGGAGGTGACAGGAGGAGGACGGGGAGGAGGAAAGGGGCGAATTGGTGGACGGGGGGGGAGGATCAGGAGTAGTAGGAGTTGGAGGGGGATAAGGAGAGTAGAGCATCGAGGCTAGACTTGCCACTCTCCCCGCCCTCAAGGCGTGAAGGAGGAGGGACAGGGAAGGAGGAGAACAAGGAGGAGGAGGAGGAGCAGGCGAAGGAGGAGGAGGAGGAGCAGGAGGAGGACGTGGCTCCCCAGTCAAGGCGAGCGGCCAGCCCCCAACAGCGCCGCGTCCGGATCAAGCCTCGGTGAGGCCGCACCAGATGACATTCCAGACCCGATCCGGGCACCTTAGGCGCGTTCTCGCGTGGCTGTAGCAGGTGAAGACCAGGGCGCCTTGCTATGAAACACGCGCCCCCGCGCAGCGCGCGTGAAATTGGCAGAAGACCAGACAGTCCAGACAGTTTCCGTAATGAGCAGTAGTTTTGATACCGTGCTGGTCCTTCCGCGCCGAGGCAGCATCATTCAATTGGCATGGGATCCTACGGTGTGCCGTCTTTCTCTCCTGCTCTGGCCCTTGCTCCCTGTCTTCTTCAGTCGCCGCACCTAAGTTGAGCATTGACCTCAACTCCTGCCCACCTGGGCCCGCTTCACACATTTCGGTTGATAAAGTGATTGTTCAAGTAATCCATCTGTCCCCACAGCGTAAAAAGAATCCGCCCACGAATCGAACACGGCTTCAGCATCCAGACGTCGACTGTGTTATCCCAAGAGCCCGCCTTTATACCCCGCCAAAATATGGGAGCACGTCGGCGTTGTGCTGCGGGCGCTACATACGATTCGTTCGACGGCGGTGCTCACAGGAAATGATTGGGCCGCGAATCTGCCACGACCACTGAATGGATCCACAGCTTGCAGATTCCCCCAACGAGATGCTCAGGAACAACCTCCAAAATGCTATTCTGTCGTGCACGAGCTCAAAGGGCACCATGGCTTTCTTTTGCAGAAAGTCAGTCCAAGCGCAGAACCATGATGAAGGAAAGGGGCACTAAGAAAAACAGTATAGTACGAAAACAAGGAAAGAATTGGAGCAAGGAATAAAAGCGATCAAAATAGATAGCTGCGGCGTTCGTCTTTGACGGCTTAGGTAGGAATCGATTGACATTTTGGCAACGGCGAATCCTAACCAAATACTACGTTTTCCAGACGGAATTGTTAACACCGCAATATTTGGCAACGCATGCCCGTCTTACCGTAATGCCCGTATTACCGTAGTCCTGCGCTACCGTGATTTTTCTTTGTGTTGCAAATTATTTGCTTCTTTGTTTCTCTTTCTCGCGTTACCGTAATGTTTGAGCGTAGTGTTGAAACCCTTGCGCGTGTTACCAAAACCGTTGCGGGTGTTACTGAAACCATTATGTGTAAGACAGACTTAGTTTTAAGTGTTACCGCATATCGGGCCCCCGGTTTACCGAATCCCGCCCCTTGAAAAAAAGATCGATGGTAAAGCGCTCACGAACATAATCATTAAACACGCCCAGGGAAATGCGGGACCCGATACCGAGTTACCGAACCTTTGGGAATTGTGGCGACATGTTTGAGCATGTTGCCCTAACCTTGGGATTAGTTACCGAAGCACTGGGGTTTAATGCAGAAGCCCGCAGGAGTATTATTACCGAAACCCTGAGAAGTGACCGAAACTCGCTTTTGGTTATTTGAACCCGCGCTCCGTTACCAAAATTTGCTTACGTGCGAAACTTGATTCGATTGGGTGGCCCACAAGCGAGCTTGCCTTGCGACTAACACCGCACCGCGTACCTTCGCAATTCAACTCTTATTGTACTGGCCGTTAATGGGCGCAATTATGCGGGTATAGTGTTGGGATTGTTACCTAAATTCCCAGTATTCGGGATGAGTAAATCGTGGGCCCATGTCAAGGATTTCCGTGATGTTTGCTTTTTGATTTGGAAGTGCAGGATGATGATTTGTTTTTTTGTTGAGGGGGAGCGGAGCACGGGTGGCAGTTCTTCGCTTCGAGCATGGCATGGCGTGGTGGTGGACAGAGACTACGTACGTAATCATCTTGCTGCAGCTTGCTTGCACTTCCAAATAAATCATGGCGCCAATATCGCAGAGTGGATTTCGTTCGGAAAACGATAGGATGGGCCGGGAGAGTCCTGGAGAATTTCGCTCCGGATTTGGAGGTGCACTTCGTGCGGATTTTTTGGTCCAGGAATGAAGACCACTAAAAATCCACGCGAAATCCACTTCACTTAACATTCGCCGCTTCGGGGTTCTGCATAGACGGGAATCCACGAAAAAATCCGCTGCAGCACGTCTGCAAGGTCGGTGCAGTGAAAATACCACGGGTCAACGTCATTCGATGGGAAAGTATGCATCCTAATCTTATGCGTCGTACAGACATTGCATGTTGCTTAGTCATAGTTGGCCACCTACCGTTTTCTGGCGATGCAATAATTGTGGATTTATGTTTTAAGGGGTTGCAAAACCGAGAGGGTGCAATTACGGAAGGCAAAACGAGAATAATAACGTCTTACGAATGGCAAAACCAAGGATGTGTATACATTCCATCATTGCAGATTTTTTCTCGTGGTCCCTGCAGCTGCATCGGACGCGAAGCGACGATTTTCACAAGTTGGGCCCGCAAACCAGACAGGTGAAACGCGGCGGGGCGCAGGGAGCAAGTTAAGCAACGCCAGGGGAGGAGGAGGAGGAGGAGGAGGAGGAGGAGGAGGTGAAGGGACGGGACACGCAGTCAAATCACCTCCAAGTCCGCCAGAGGACATGTAAGCTCCCGAACCGCACAGTGCGAATCACCATTGCCAATCCCTCCCTGTAACAGAGCTAACCACCACTACGTCACAATGATTGGAGCCTTCTGGCGGCATTGCTACATGTTACGACCAAGTCCATGCGACGTATGGCTCCTGCAGGGACGAGCACGCTTGTGGTATGTAGGAGAAGGTCGACGTTACGGTTAGGGATTTGATTTTTAGTTTACAATTGGTTACCAATTCAATGTGCTTACCTTGCTACCCTCTTGGTGGTTTCAGCGAGCTGTTCGTGTCTGTGTACGCCAGTGCCGTCCAATGTTTCTGCAAGCGCGCGTAGTATGAATTATCCAGGGCCTAGCACATACGATATAAACCACGAGGTTTCGCGAGAAGGGAACTAGCAAATATTCATTTATGGTGTTAGGGCCATTCCGCCACCGCGGTGTACATCACTTATTTGTTGTATGCGTGTGCGTACCGAATCGCCACTCTTGCAAAAAGGTCGGTAGGAAATTGCGCAAGAAAATATGTGTTAAAACCATTTTGTGGATATACATGTGTATATGTAGATGGAAAAAGGAAGGAAACATGCCCAGGGAAATGCGGGACCCAGTGGCGAATTATTGAACATTTGGGAACAGTGGCCGACATGTTCGAGTTTAAATTGGAAACATAACCGACACCAAACACATTGACGTACGGAATTGGATTCGAGTGGCACCTACAAACGAAAGAATTCATGCCACGGAGCTCCGTTGTATCTTGTCATGATTGCGCTATGTTTTGTGGGAGCGGGGCATGGGTAAACAATGCTTCATTTCGATTACGCACGGAATTCCAGTCGGCTTGGATTAGTAGGTCGACCTTGCCAAATCAAGGGTTTTTTGTGTCCTCTGTCTCGCGACCCGTGCCTCCTACATTCTTTTGGCAACACGATTGTACAAGGAAGCGCCACTGAGCCAAACGTTGAGACGCAGCGGCGCGCCGGCCAAGCAGCGCCACAGGAGGGGCATGAGGAGGAGGAGGTGGAGGAGGAGGAGGACGACGACGAGGACGAGGAGGAGGAAGAGGAAAAGGAGGAAGAGGAGGAGGAGGAGGACGAGGAAGAGGAAGAGGAGGAATAGGAGCAGGAGGAGGACGAGGACGAGGACGAGGACGAAGACGAGGACGAGGACGACAGCGAGGACGAAGACGAGGAGGAGGAGGAGGAGGAGGAGGAGGAGGACCAGTGCAAGCCCAAGACTCATCAACGATGTTGGCATCAACCATTCCTTCAAGCTCCCTCTTCATAGGCCCCTATATGGATTCATTTCCACTGAGGAAAGTGCTCCGTTGGGAGATAACCGTTTGAGGATCTTGAATCGTGCCAACACACCGTTCTCGGGACTTCAGCGCCACGAGTCAACCTGATTGTTGCGCCCTGACAATCATGAATAGTTTCAAACACCGATCTTGGTGCTTTAACCATGGGTGTCATTGAGATGTTTGGACATATGTTAAACGAGTGCGCGCGGCGCTAAGGCGAAAACCACATGTTGAAAAGGAATCGCCTTCAATCCGTGAAACCCATGCCGTCGTTTACGATTCATGTATGCGGCGCGAAAGCGAAAGCCACATTTTGAAACGGAACCGCCCTTAGTGCGTACATATTCTGCGAATGTGTAAGGCGAGGGTGCGCGGCGCTACGGCGCGAGCCACATCTTGAAAGCGACCCGCCATCCATTTTTGTGAACTTGTTGCCCCCTCCTGATTCTCAGGGTCAGAAATGGTAAGAAAGTCTCGGGCGAAACGCCCGGCCCGCCCGTCCGAGTGGCCTCGGGGTGGGACAAGGAGGAGTTATGTAAAAAGGATGGAGGAGAAGGAGGAATGGCTCAGATCAAGCGACCCCGTCAACCCACGCTTCCCCAGCGAGCGGATCAGAATTCCCCATTCTGTATGAATGTTGTTGCTAGGGCGTTTTGTGCAGCGATTAAGGCTACGTTTGCCCATCCTGTCCTCCAGACTCGCGCCATCGATGCCCTCAGGGGGTCTGGAGCAGAACGAGCTTTGGCTGCAGCGGCCTGGTCTAAAAACTCCAAATTGACGATTCAGCAGCCTTCAGTCTCCATAGGTATCACCATAAGCCGCAAGATGTCGCGTTCCACAATTTCTGTGCACATGACGTGTCTCTTATAGATGACCCTCTTGAATGCAAATGTTGGTGTCGTCGCTGCCTCTGGGAACGGCGTGCCGTCCGCATGGAATAGCGATATCATTGTAGTATCCATTCCATGCGGAATTCCGCACTGGATGGGCAGCTCCGTCGCCACAATCTCGATCTTCTTGCCGTTGGCGGAATCGATATTTGGAAGCGTTGGGACATTTGTTGACGCTTCGCGAATCCCCACCAGCCCATCCAGACACGATGCCCAGAGGAATTGCCTCGATCAGGGAAGTGGGCAGCACACAGAGGAAACCATTATGAGACATCTAGGGATATCTTCAGCCATCTTGGAGGTCATTGTGGGCTCTCCCAGGCGCTCTTGGAGTCATCTTAATCAGTGCCCACCCTCAAGAGGCCAGCATGGTGTTAAAACCTTCGTAGAATCAATGACTTGGCATTCTCGCCGAAGCCTCTTGGAGCATCTTGAGTGCCCCT